CCCCTGTTTAAAAAGTTTGAGGACCCCAGGTCTAGCAGGTAGTAGGCAGTTCCATATTGGCTGCAGCTGTTTTAATTGCCAACCCCTAGTCCTGGGTTCTGTTTTGTTTGTTTTTCCCCCTGGGTTCTGTTTTTAAGGAAACTCTGTAACTCATCTCATGAATACTTATAGCAAAAGTTTACACATGCTTACAGTCCATTAGGGAAATTGCTTTGTTTGGAGTAAAGTTTTAGTATACATTGCTCCATACTAGACTCATAATTTCTTGAAGACTATACACTTTGTACATCAGAGTGTCATGCCCATGTATTAGGTTCTCAAATGTTTGATGAATAAAAGGAGTTGAGTGTTGAATGAATGAAATAAAATTAATGTCCTTTATTTAAAACAAACCAACAAACAAGGAACACGTATATTAGGCTTATTTCATTAGGGGACAAAAAGATTACTCAAATATCTGAAATATTTCTTTAAAACTTTATTTCAAAGCTATTCACCTCTCTGTTAATAAGGTGTACAGTTAATGTTCTGTGCCAGGTACAGGCCTGCCCATTGCTGGCAATGGATTTTGAGAAAACTCATTTCCTGGCATCTAACAGTTAAATTACTCTTCAAACCATACCGAACTCCCAATACTTGCAAAAGTATTACATGCACTGGTTCCCATCAATTTTAAATCTGAACTTACATTATTAATCCATATCAGTGGGTGTTAAAACGAAGTCATTTTAACAAAGTGTGACTGTACAAATCAAGATACTACTGGATAATATTAGACAAGAGTATTTTACAAACACTACATTACCTTGCAATTTGAAACATTACATTTCATATTCATGTAAATTACTTTTTGATAACTGAAACTTCACAGAATTTAACAGCAGATAAAGTTTAAAATTTAGTTCTGTACATTAATTCCAACTACCCCTATTTGTACAATCTATAAGGCTCATGTCATGTTCAGCACCAAAAAGATCTGCAAAACTGTCTAATTAGTGTTCTTATCCATCTCATGATAGTTTGGGTTTTTGGTCTTTTTTCTGAAGGTGAAAATCTGAGAAAATGCTCGATAAATTCTACTTCTAGACTTTGAAGTAGCTACACTTTTGGGCTCAGCAGACGGTGTAAAAATGTGGGCTGTACCTTATTTTCACCGGCCACATATAGACAGGAAGAAAAGAAAGAGCACTTACACCACCATGACTTTGGGTTGTTAGTCTTTAAGTTGGATTTATAACACTGAAGCATCGGAAGTCACTAAGAATGCCCTACGCCTACACCTTTTTGCTTTACATTAAAAAAAAAAAAGGTATCCAGAAAAAGGTTTCCAGTTGTCCTTCAAAATAAGGACCAAAGAAGGATGCAACCACAAACACTTCCTCAGGTACAGCTCCAATGAGATCTCCAGGATGTTCTTCGGCCTAGGCCACCTGGGGTTGATTTGGACCATGTTTTCTATCCCAGAAGACTCTGCTCTAGCATCACTCTGCTCCTAGAGGTCATCACAATAGCTTTCTGTCACTGCTGGGCTAGAGAGAAACCAGCTTTCGTTTCTAGAACCAGTGTTACCATCCTAACTCTTTCGCCTCCCCTTCAAGGTCTACAAGTTTTAGAAAAAGAGCAGGATTTAAGCAGGGCTTGTGCACACTACCTTTTAAGACCACATTTCCCCATGCTAGGGGCATTTTCAATAATCTTACTTATTCAAAGTATTACAAAATTCTTGCATGTTTCAAAAAACCCAAAACAGAATTTTTTTTTTAAAAATTGGGGACTAATACCTCTGCTTTCTTCTGTCAGAAGCACACTATTCATTATAGCACGTTTAAAAGCTAACCTTCATGCATACACATAGCCAGAGAGGTATGAAGTTTTACAGAGCCCTTGACATCATTTGAGTACATTTAGCACTGGCTATACCACTGCAAGGAGAATGTTAGCTAAGACTTTCCAAAGACCACGACCCTTTTCCAGGCTCCACGTCAGTTACATAAAAACTTAGGCAACATGTAATCCTTTACAATTTTCCCCAGACATCCATTCCCCGAACCGTTCCTGTAGCCCATCCACCCCAACCCATACTGAAGTCTTGCACCTCACAGAAGTATCTTAATGTTCTCCATTACTAATGACAGCTGCTTCCGGTTCTGCGGCTGTTGCAGGGAGTCTTGGCACTTTCTTAGCAGGACTTGGAATATGCTAAAATGAAAAGAAAAAAACAGTTGTTGGAGCTCTGAAGACTTTTTTTTTCTCCTGGAAATAGTCAAGGTAGTTATTCAGTTCCTATAGAGAAACTGAGAAAGAACAACTTCGGCGATTTATGCTCAATATGTCCCATATAGCTTTTCTTTCTTTCCTTTTGTTTTTTAAACATTTTATTAGGGGCTCATACAACTGTTATCGCAATCCATACACACATCAATTGTGTAAAGCGCATTTGTACATCATT